CCATTGATAAAAATGTTGTTTATTGACCCCGTGGTGAGAATTTTTGTTTTCCTTACATTGAGATGCAATCCATACTGAAGGCTGTGCTCTTAGATCTTCATCAGTAAATATTTTAAGTCCTCTTCACTTTCAGCAAGCAAGGTTGTATCATTTGCATATCACAGGTTGTTAATGAGTCTTCCTCCAATCTTGATGCCATATTTTTCTTCATATAACCCAGCTTCTCAGATTATTTGCTCAGTATACAGGTTGAATAAATATGCTGAAAAATACAACCCTGCCACACACCTTTCTTAAATTTAAACCATTCAGTGTTTCCATGATCTGTTCGAACAGTTGCCTTTTGGTCCATGAGCACAATTAAGTGTTCCAGAATACTCATATTTCTCAATGTTGTCCATAGCTTGTCATGATCCACACAATTGAAAGCCTTTGCATAGTCAATAAAGCACAGGTACACATCTTTATGGTATTTTCTGCTTTCAGCTAAGATCCATCAGACATCAGCAATGATATTCCTCATTCCATGGCCTCTTCTGAATCCGGCTTGAACTTCTGGCAGTTCTTTGTCAATGTATGCTTGCAGCCATTTCTGTATTACCTTTAGTAAAACTTTACTCACATGGGATATCAAAGATATTGTTGAATGATTTCGGCATTCCATTGGATCAACTCTCTTTGGAATGGGCACAAATACGGATCTCTTCCAGTCAGTTGACCAGATAGTTGTCTTCCAAATTTCTTGGCATAGATCAGTGAGTGTCTCCATTGCTGCCTCATTTTCTTGAAAGATTTCAATTTGTATTCCATCAATTCCTGGATCCTCGTTCTTTGCCAATTCCTTCAATACACCTTGGACTTTCTCTTTCAGTATCATTGGCTCTTGATCATATGCTACTTCTTGAAATTGTTGAACATCAACCATTGCCTTTTGGTACAGTGACTCTGTGTGTTACTTCCACCTTCTTTTTTCTTTTTTTCTCCAACAGATATATTATTTATTTTGAAAGGAATGAATTGTGAGGAAAGAAAAAATGAGGCAGGGGAAAAATATGGAATAGAAAATAAATACGACTGTAATGCTAATTGTTTTATAACCACAACTAACTAGTATAGAGAAGCCCTGTACAAAACAACACAATGAAGAGCCAAAGATGGAGGTGTTCCCTTAGCACGCTAAAGATTTCAGTCTCTGGTATTTGGAACTGAGGTTGCAGTCCTTGGTTTTGGATGGATCACTGGGTGTGTGGGCCCAGTCCATGCTTTAACAAGCTTTGAACAGAAGAATGGTCACTTGGCCCAGGTAGAAGTAGATGAAGTGCTTAGTTTCATGTTTCACATAACTACCGAAGTTTCTCCTCACGATGCAGTGCAAGGTGGGGTTGTACTTCTTGTCAAACTCCTTCTTGATATGGGCTGCGGTGTTCTCCTTCTCGATGTTGTATTTCTCCAGCGCCTGTGCAGCGCACTCCACCGAGGCCTGTTGCATCTTCTCTGACATGTCGGCATTTTTGATCACGGCCTTTCGGTCACACATGGATCCAGTGGAGCACACACGGGTGACTGCGGAAGTCTCCTGGGGGAGGGGTTAGAGCGGCTCAAGCCAGACTAATGGTGCCGTTGGTAGCGAAGCCGTGGCGCATCTTCTTATCTTCTTTTGATGCTTTCTACATATCTTACACATATATATGTATGTGTGTGTGTGTAAGATATGCA